ATGCAATGCTGCACCCAAACGAAATTTACATCCTTTTTTCACACAAATAGAGCATTCTTTTGGTGTAATTTGATCACCTGTGCGCTTTTTATTTTTCACGCTATAAACAAAAAAATGCCAAAAATTTTGAAGAAAAACAATATTTTTTATTTTCAGCTATAAAAAAATATATAGTAAACTCAAAGTTGGTTATAAATTTAGGCCAAAATGTATTCTGCTACATGTTTTTGGTAAAACAAATCCTAATAAGTGTATATTGATTGCTTTGTGTGGAAGTTATAGCGTCTACAAACTATGGTATAAATACTGCAATTTATGCCATTTTTTCTGCTATACAGCGTTGAGCTAGTTTAACGGACAATTGCGCTGTCATGCAATATGGTACATAAATGAAATTTACATCCTTTTTTTCCCCACAAATTGAGCTTTCTTTCGGTGATATTTGATCACCTGTGCGGTTTTAATTTTTTGCGCTATAAAAAAAAAATACTGACAATTTTGAGGAAAAAAAAAACAATATTTTGGACTTTTTGCTATAAACATGTCCAGTAAAAAAAAAAATGCAAAAATCAAATTTAGTCATAAATTTCTGCCAAAATGCATTCTGTGACATGTCTTTGCTAAAAAAAAAACCCAATACGTGTAAATTAATTGGTTTACGTGAAAGTTATAGCGTTTACAAATGGCGGGAAAGATACTGGGATTTTTAGTTTTTTTTTTATACTAATAATGGCGGCGATCAGCGAATTATGGCGGCGATCAGGGACTTATGGCAGCGACCAGCGACTTATGGCAGGACTGCGGGACTGCGGCGGACATTCTGACATTGGGGGGTACTGACTTGGGGTCACTGACATCCCCAAAAACACTAATACAGTGATCAGTGCAAAAAAAAAAACTGACACTGTACTAATGGCAATGGGGAGGAAGGGGTTAACTTTATTTTGCAGGGAAGGGTTATAGGAGTGAGGGGAGTGTTTTACTAGGGGGCGGGGGTTTGTGCTGGGCAGGACAAGGCTGATCGAGAAAGAGAAACTGTTCTTTCTCGATCAGCTCATCCTTGAGCTGACAGGGAAGTGACAGACAGCACAGCTACTTCAGCTGTGCTGTCTGTCACTGTTTACCGCCGATCGCTGGGACATAGCCGCTAAGGAGCGGCTATGACCCAGCGACTGACATCTGCGGCGGTGATCCGTGGGACAAATAGGGCGGCGGCGCTCCTCGCGCACACCCCCTATTTGTTTACAAAACACACGTTTTAAAACGTGGTTTTGCCTGCGAGTGCCGCCCTGCCGCCGTATATGTACAGTGGCTGGGCGGCATGCGGTTAATTACATAGTTACATAGTTAGTCTAGCTGAAAAAAGACAAAAGCCCATCCAGTTCAACCATGAAAAAAAAAAGTTATAATCATATACCCACAGTTGATCCAGAGGAAGGCAAAAAAAACAGCAAAGCATGATCCAATTTACTCCTGTAAATATCCAAAAAAGATGGGAAGTACAATTATACAAAGTTTATAAAAGGTTAGCAAATACATACACACAAACATAACCATGTAAAGTCCAACACCAGAACTTTTTATTTCAGTTTGGATACAGCAGAAAAGGGTTAGGAGTTTTTTTTTTTATGAAGTTACAGAGTAAGGATTGTAACAGTGTAACATTAGGAATTACTTTGCAATTTGGATAATGGACTTTCAAAGTAACATATTCTAGAACATCACAGGTAGCAAAACATGACATTGTTGGTCCATTGAAATGTAGAGATAAACATGTTATTGTCATTCCACTGTACAGAGTGTCCTAATTGAGTCATCATAGAGAAAAAAACAGTATTAAAGTTTTCTAAAGCTATATTAACCACTTTCCCTCCAGAGGATTTACCCCCTTTCCTGACCAGGCCATTTTTTGCGTTATGGCACTGCGTTACTTTAACTGACAATTGCTTGGTCATGCAACACTGCATCCAAATTAAATTTACATTGTTTTTTTTTCACAAATTGAGCTTTCTTTCAGTGGTATTTGATCGCCTGTGCATTTTTTTTTCACTGTGAAAAAGAAAGACTGACAATTTTGAGAAAAAAAAACAATATTTTTGACTTTTTGTTATTAAACATGTCCAGTAAAAAAATGTAAAAAATCAAATTTCATCATACATTTAGGCCAAAATGTATTCTGCTACATGTCTTTGCTAAACAAAATCCCAATGTGTGTAAATTAATTGGTTTACGTGAATGTTTTAGCGCTTACAAATGGTGGTATAGATACTGGATTTTTTTTTTGTTTACTAGTAATGGCTGTTGATCAACGACTTATAGTGGGACTACGGGACTGCAGTGGACATTCTGATACTGGGGGGGAACTAACTTGATGTCACTGACATCCCCAGTGACACCAATACAGTGATCAGTGCTAATAAAAAGCACTGACACTGTACTAATGGCACTGGGCAGGAAGGGGTTAACATGAGGGGTGATCAAAGGTTTAACTGTGTGCAGGGAGTGTTTTACATAGGGGGCCGTGTCAGTGTGCTTTACTGTAAGCAGACTGCTTTGGATGGCTGGGCTGTGCAGAGCCATCCAAAGTAGTGTTCCCAAAATGACATGGAGGAGAACTGTTAGTAAACTAAACAGTTCTCCTCCCTGTCAGAGATTGATGAAAATCACAGAGTGCCAGCGAGTAATCATGGGCTGGGACTGGGTGATTGACAGCCACGGCCGCAAATAGCGGCGCAGGTAGGGCATGTGCGAGGCTCATGCACGCCCCCTACCCAGAAATGCATAATCATGTATATATACATGATTTTGTGCACCCATGCCACCCTTTAGCAGTATTTCTAATATTATACTATAGGATGTAACTTGTGTATTATAGAAAACATCCAATTGTTTTCAGTAGTGAGATAATTAACCTGAGTTACTGTATATGAAAAGAAGTTCCATATTAGGTGGATAAATTCATATAGGAGGATATTTATTACATGGTAATGAAAAAAATGAGTAGGATACAGTTTATCCTAGTCTCCATACAAGAGGACTGAAACCTCTATTACCCCCTGAGGTTCCCAAACAAATGATGTTATATATTCTAGAAATGAAATATTCTGGGCTTTGCACATCCTTTATACATTTGTATAGTTTAGCATTAAAAAGAGGTATGTGTTGCTTCCGCTTTAAATCAACTAAACATTTTGCTGCTGTGAGAATGTAATTAGTTTATTTTTACTTATTGTTTGCTAATTTATTCAGGAACAGAAAGAGCAATCCTAGCACATAATCTATAGGGTTATGCATTAAAGTGTTATTTCATTGGTTAGTGAGCAAAGCTTAAGCATGCATTTATTGGTTGTGTTGTCTATTATACTTTGAAAATGGAACAACAAATTGCTTCTTCAGGGAATAAACCTGTCAGCTGACAAATGAGCTGGGTATTATGGGTGTTTGTAGATGTGTATGTATGTAGGTGTAGATATATGTAGATATTTTGGAAAACAGGCAAAAGTTGTGTTTATATCTAGAGATGAGCGAAGTATTCAAAAATTCGATTCGACTGATTCGGCGAATTCGTGGAAAAATTTTGATTCGAGTCGAATATATTCGCTGTGAATTTAACTTAAAAAAGGGTGTTTCTAGGCTTCAGAGAGACTTAATATTAGTGCAGAACACTGTACCTTTAATTTAAATGCCCTTGGAGTCTGCTGGGGAAGAGAAATAATACTGTCAGTCAGTATGACATGCAGATGAGTGCCGTCGATCTTAGAATCACCGCACACTTAACTCATTTGGGCAGTCACGGGGCCAAAACCAGAGTGTGGAGCCACAGTGTGGCGGTGGAGGCAGCAGCAATGGGAGGCCATACAGCACCCTATGACAAAAATGGAAACCACCAGCAGTGTGAGGAGACCTGAAAGTGGCACATGGCAGAGTGTGGCGATAGAGACAGCAGCAATGGGAGGCCGTACAGGGACCCATGACACACTCTGGACCTGGCAGCAGCATGAGGAGGCGGTACAGGGGCCCATGACAGATTACGGGCCTGGCAGCAGCATGAGGAGTCGGTACGGGGGCCCATGGCAGATTACGGGCCTGGCAGCAGCAATGGGAGGCCGTACAGGGACCCATGACACACTCTGGACCTGGCAGCAGCATGGGGAGGCGGTACAGGGGCCCATGACAGATTACGGGCCTGGCAGCAGCATGAGGAGTCGGTACGGGGGCCCATGACACACTCTGGACCTGGCAGCAGCATGAGGAGGCGGTACAGGGGCGCATGACAGATTACGAGCCTGGCAGCAGCAACTTGGACAGGAGGACGTTCAGCTTCTGCACCGTCGGGTGCGTGCTCGCAAACTGTTGTCTCTTGGAAACGGATTCCAAGAAAGACTGCTGACGGAATCCGTGAAGAGGAGTAGCAGGAGAAGGAGCATCTGAACGAGCGGAAGATGCCAACAAGCGACAACAGGGGCCCATGACAGATTACGGGCCTGGCAGCAGCATGAGGAGTCGGTACGGGGGCCCATGGCAGATTAGGGGCCTGGCAGCAGCTATGGGAGGCCCGTAATCTGCCAGCACCCTATGACAAAAAATGGAACCCACCAGCAGTGTGAGGAGACCTGAAAGTGGCACATGGCAGAGTGTGGCGATGGAGACAGCAGCAATGGGAGGCCGTACAGGGACCCATGAGAGACTCTGGACCTGGCAGCAGCATGAGGAGGCGGTATAGGGGCCCATGGCAGATTAGGGGCCTGGCAGCAGCTATGGGAGGCCCGTAATCTGCCAGCACCCTATGACAAAAAATGGAACACACCAGCAGTGTGAGGAGACCTGAAAGTGGCACATGGCAGAGTGTGGCGATGGAGACAGCAGCAATGGGAGGCCGTACAGGGACCCATGAGAGACTCTGGACCTGGCAGCAGCATGAGGAGGCGGTATAGGGGCCCATGGCAGATTAGGGGCCTGGCAGCAGCTATGGGAGGCCCGTAATCTGCCAGCACCTATGACAAAAAATGGAACACACCAGCAGTGTGAGGAGACCTGAAAGTGGCACATGGCAGAGTGTGGCGATGGAGACAGCAGCAATGGGAGGCTGTACAGGGACCCATGAGAGACTCTGGAATTGGCAGCAGCATGAGGAGGCGGTATAGGGGCCCATGGCAGATTAGGGGCCTGGCAGCAGCTATGGGAGGCCCGTAATCTGCCAGCACCCTATGACAAAAAATGGAACACACCAGCAGTGTGAGGAGACCTGAAAGTGGCACATGTTTGGGGCATGATTCATGGTGGATTTAGTCAGTTGTGTCAGGAACTGGTGGTTTGAAATCCAGACTAATCCACGCCTGATTCATTTTCACAAACGTGAGTCTCTCCACACTTTGGGTGGACAGTCGTGTCCTCCGCGGAGTTGCAATACCTCCTGCCGCACTAAACACGCGCTCCGATGCCACGCTACTGGCCGGGCATGACAGCCTTTCAAGGGCAAATTCAGCTAGTTGGGGCCAAAGGTCAAGTTTCGTTGCCCAGTAGTCAAGGGGATTGTCTACCTCGGTTGGCAGGGTGCTGTCCAAGTAGGCCCAAGCCTGTTGTTTGAGGTCCTGCTCCAGGTCCACCTGATGCTGCTGCTGCTGCTGCTGCTGCGGCTGGTTAGTAGTTTCCTCACTGCGCTGGTGAAGAAAGCTACTCATCATCGACTGCAGACTGAGGCAGCTGCTGCTGGTGGAGCTGCCACTGCTCCTACCACCCCACCCCTCCCCTGCTGCCATGGCAGCGGAACGCGAGCGCACAGGGCCCACAGTGTCTGAGGATGGACGTTGGCGCAGACAGGCAGAGACCAGCTGACTACATAGGTGGTTTTTATAGTACGTTATTTTGGCCTCCCTCTCAGCAGGTGTGAAAAAGGCCACCATTTTTGAATGGTAGCGAGGGTCCAACAAGGTGGACAGCCAAAAGTCATCCCTCTGTCTGATGGTTATTATTCGGCTGTCGCTACGCAAGCAAGCGAGCATGCTATGGGCCATTTGTGCCAAGGAATGCGAGGGACTCCCTGCCTCCATCTCCACAGCATACTGCCAAACCGAGTCACCCTGACCAGCCATTGTTACACAGCATTTGCTTCCAGGACGTGCAACAGAGGAATGACGTCGTTACATACCATAGTCCTGCCGACTCACGAATATGCGTGGCCTCCTCAAAGGGCCTGAGCAAGCGCAGGAGTGTCACGCATGAGCTGCCAATGGCTGACATCTAAGTTACACAGGGAGTACCTTTATCCGCATTTTAACATCAGGAAATCTGTGATGGCCTTTTGCTGTTCGTAAAGGCGGTCTAACATATGTAGGGTTGAATTCCAACCTATGTTGCAACGTCACAGCATGAGGAGTCGTATAGGGGCCCATGGCAGATTAGGGGCCTGGCAGCAGCTAATGGGAGGCCCGTAATCTGCCAGCACCCTATGTCTCAAAAAATTCAACACAACACACCAGCAGTGTGTGAGGAGACCTGAAAGTGGCACATGGCAGAGTGTGGCGATGGAGACAGCATCAATGGGGGAGGCCGTACAGTGGACCCGATGACAGACTCTGGACTTGCGCAGCAGCATGAGGAGCGGTATATAGTGGCCCATGGCAGATTAGGGGCCTGGCAGCAGCTATGGGAAGGCCCGTAATCTGCCAGCACCCTATGTCAAAAAAATTCACATCCACACCAGCAGTGTGTGAGGAGACCTGAAAGTGGCACATGGCAGAGTGTGGCGAAGGAGACAGCAGCAATGGAGGCCCGTACAGGGACCCATGAGAGACTCTGGAACGCACACCCTGAGGAAGGGGGGGTATATAGGGGGCCTATGGGGAGATTAGGGGCCTGGCAAAGGAAAAGGAGGCCCGTAATCTGCCCGCACCCCCATGTCAAAAAAAATTTAAAACACACCAGCCCCCGGAGGAGACCTAAAGTGGCACATGGCAAAAGTGTGGCGATGGAGACCCGCCCGCAATGGGGGGCCCTACAGGGACCCATGACAGACTCTGGACTTGGCAGCAGCCCTGGGGAGGGCGGTTTAAAAGGGGGCCCCTGGGAGATTAGGGGGGCCGGCACACTATAGGGGGCCCCGGGAAAACTGCCAGCA